TAACCTCCAATAGAAACTTCCAGTCCACCAAATCATAGGCCTTTTCAAGATTCAATTTACAAATGAAACCTCTCTTACTAGACCTTTCATTTCCTCCACACACTCATTCGCAATTAAGATCTGATCTGTTATTTGTCGCCCTTGAATGAAAGCCCCCTGGGATTAGCTACATGGGATTAACTCTACTTCAGATCTAACTGCTAGAAGGAAATTGCTCGCAAAGGTTCAGGCAGAGAAGGGTGTTGTGTCAAACAAGGGGTTTGGACATGCTGCATATTTAAATTCCTTGGTGGTTGAAAAAAGGGCAACAAAGCAAGTCAAGCTGACCTGACCAGGTGTTTCAAGAGGTGCGGGCCCGATTTTTTTCAGTAAGGCTCATGACTTTTTGAGGAGTCACATGCCTTGCTCCTTTGGCTCGTTAGGGGACAACAAGGAGGGTGTATCATCATCCCCTTCATTGGGAAGCCAGGACTCCCACTGATCTACAGCAGTGGCGACTAGATTTTTGACAAGCATGCCTCTTGTTCCACTGGTCTACCCCAGAAGAGATCGATTGAACAGACGATAAGCAACCTAGCTTGGAAAGCAATAGTAGAAGGAAATTCCACCTCTCCTGGAAGACTAAATCCAAAGTTCAATAGAGAAGATAGGGAGGAATCAGACGCAGACAGTGATTAAGAGGACTTACAAATCGAGGGTGAAGAGGAGGTCAACCAACTTTCCAACATAGGAAGTCTTGACTCCAACAAAACTCAAAAGAAGCTGAGGGTAAGGATTTGGGTACAAAACTTATTTTCGCAAAACCTTCTTCGTCAAGCACCTTACCGCTGAAGGAGCTTGAGTTGAGGGAGGCCCCTATAAACTGTGAAGTGATCTCGCCTAGGATTGAGAGGGAGAACACAAACAATCGGACAACAAACCAAAGGATGATTTAGACTAATGGGGTTATTGGGTGTAACCTACTGCAAAGCAAATTAGCACAAGTTAATTGCCAACAAGAAGTTGCTCAATGTCTACCTCCCAAGGATTCCGATCAGCCTCTACTTGCCATGGGTGTGGCTTGTGAAAGTAGTAAACAGGGAGTTCCCTACCCCCTCGAGTTTCCTCTATGTTACTTATCCTATGTCTTCTCCTAAAACCAACACTACTTCGAATGTGTGCCCTCTTCTATGTGTGCAAAACCAGTCCCATGTCAAAAGCCCATTGACGTAAACAATGCTTTTGCCACAAAGCTTGCAAATGCCTTGGGTGTAGGGAAGATGGGGGATAAAACGGGTGGAAGAGAGAATCCCCGATCCGGAGCAAGCTAACCTGACAAATCTAGTGTCAAAAATTGAGAGGGAGTCAGATGATTTGGGCAGCCACATCAGAACTGGGTCTTCACCAGAAATTGAGGGAGAAAAAAAAAGTTTTAGAGAGAGTCCAACGGAGCCTATGTTTTTGCTTAAGAAGAAGAAGAAAACATTACTAGAGAAGCCATTAGGGGTGAAAACGTATACAAGAAAGGACAAAGGCAAGGGAAAAGGAAGAGGAGGAAGAGTGAGGGACAATGAATGTTAATCACTGGTTCTGCTTTCAAAATTGGAAGAGGTCTTCCTGGACCAAAATTCCATGGACAATAGAGTTTGGTCTCCCTCCCCAGATGGTCTTTTCTCTTGTCCCTCTTTCTTCAACATCCTTACCCATTCAGAATCATTGAGGGAGAATCTCCCAGTAAAGAAATTTGGTGTAAGCCAATTCCTTCCAAAGTGAAAACTCTTTATTGGGAAGTGTTCCTTGGAAAGGTTAATACCTATAACTTGATATAGAAAAGAAGGCCAGTTAAGTGCCTCTCTCCTCATGTTTGTATCATCTGTTTGGCTAGTGGTGAGATCCTTCCTCATTTACTAATTTCATGCTCTTTCGTGTCTTGCATTTGGGATTACTTTTCTTCACTCTTTGGCTGCAAATGGGACCCCCCACAAGATGTGGTTAGTTTATTCAGTTATAATTGTACAAGGCTATAGAAAAAAAGGGAAAAATGTTTATGGAAGGTCACAAGAGATATTGTAGTTTGGACCATCTGGGAAGAAAAAAATCAAAGATTTTTCAATGAGAAGAGCAGATCTAAAAAGGAAGCAATTGAAACAATTAAAATCAGATCTGCACACTGGGTAAAAATTGTCAATACATTCAAAGATATCTCAACAGATGATACAATGAGGAAATGGGAGGAAATGGTACAGATAGGAATACATAACGAAATTACTAAGATGGATTGGAAACCCCCATATCCAAATAAGTTGAAGCTGAATTTTGATGGTAGCTCCCTTGGAAACCCTGGCAGGTGCAGGACTAGGGGGAGTATTTCGAAATCATCATGGAGAAGTTGTGGCTTTGTTCTCAGGACCAATTGGGTATGGAGACTTGATTGAGGCTGAGACAATGACACTCTTACAAGGCTTGAAATTAGCAGAACAATTATAAGCTAGAGAATTGGAAGCGGAAGGGGATTCACTCTTGGTCATTTCTTGGGCTAAGCAAGTAAATTAAGCACCATGGAAATACAGATTTTCTTTCAGGGAGATTGACATTCTTGCTAAGAGTTTTAACTCTACATTTGGGTGGGTTAAAAGAACAACAAATGGATTGGCAGATACCCTGGCAAAATAGGGAGTCGATAGACCTACTCTTTTTTGGGAAAACTGTAGCTGGATGCATTACAACAGAGGGATGCTAATCCATGTAATTTGGGACATTTTGTATATTGCTATACTCCAGAGTGCAGAGCAGCTAAAGAAGGAATCTTTTTGGGTTGATGGGAGTACAGGACACAATTCACACTAACTACCCTGCCCCTTTTTAATTCTTTTATCACATTCAGTACACTCTTGTACACCCAAGGACACCTTTTCTCATTCTGCACCCATCTCACCACCACCTCGGAATCTCCCTCAATGATTATGTTAGTAAAGTTTTTGCTTTTTGCCACTCTTAATTAATCCCTACAAAAGTGCTAAAACTTCTGCTCAAATTGCATTGTCGTAACCTGTTGTTCCCAGTAGATAGTCAAAATGTCCATCATGCATTTCCTGAATACACCTCTAAAGCCTGAAAGACCCAGATTGCCCCTACTACAGTTTAAGTTTAAAACATTGAGTTGGAGGAGATTCCCATTGAGGATGTACCACAACCCTCATAATAGACGAGTTTCCAATTATCCACCAACCTCTTAGAATGTCATCAGAAGAGAAAGGGTTGAACAAACCAAAATGTCTTCACCCAGTGGACCACTTTCAGTGTAATCGTCAATAATAGTTCTACTTTCTTGAATCTTATCTCTGAATAATCTTCCATTCCTCTCCTCCCAAATGACCCATTGAACTGCTGCTCTTGTGCATCTCCAAAGCACCTTCCTCTTCTTGTATCATACACCGAAGTTCATTTTTGGTAGATATAGATTAAAAATAGGGTAAAATCACCTTTCTATATATATGTAAGTTTTAGTGTATATGTTTGCTGTTTTTTTATAGATTTCTAGAAAAATAGAAATATCCTTGCCTTAAAGTCTATTGATACGATTCAAAATTCAAATTTATTCAACCTTCTCTGCAAGTTATGGCATAATAACGATTTTCAAAACATTGGTCCAGTTAAGCAATTTTAATATGCTTACTTAAGCATGAAAGTCCAAATCAGTGATGGGATGCATAAGATTTTGCTTTTATTTGTCAAAGTACATGCATACCATCTGAAGCACCTCTTACTTAAATGTTTATTCACCCAAAACCATACCAAGAATTCCAGCCAAAAGGATATGGTTGTCTTTTGGCACTAGAGTTAGCAAGTGCAACTTTCAATTGTCAGAAATCCATTTAGGGTTCATTTGGTTTGCGGGAATAGGGGTCTGGAATCGGAATCCCATTCCCATTCCTGGTGGAATGGCATTCCCCCATATGAGGGAATGGGCATTGCCTCCCCCTCCCCTGGGAATGAGAATCCATTCCAGCCAATTCTGATTCAGATTCCAATTTCAGACTGAACCAAACAGGTGAAGGGAATAGACCATTTCAATTCCAATTCCAATTCCAACTGTGAACCAAACTGACCCTCAGAAGTTTGGGACTGGCTTGTTGTGGACAAGACAGGAAAAGTTGGAATTTGAAAGATAATGATTTGTAAAAAAGAAGGTAAATAAAGCCCACAAGACAGTGCAGTTTAGTAAGTGCAAGTATAAGTTAAAAGAAATGGTTATCACGTATTGTTCACAAAAGCATGCTTCATAAAACTAGAATCAATGAAACATACTTTTATTCCATAGAATGGAATGCTTTCACGACACTACAAGCAAGACGCATTGATATGCTAATTTCCAATAATAGATATTCCAGCGTAAGATTGATCCCTACGTACCACATTTCTTGCAGTGGAAGAATTTGTCGCGGCCACCGACTCTAGTATAGAAATTATAAAATTAGCATACCTTTAGCTCGCTACGGAAAAGGCAGAAATCATATCCGAGAAAACCAAAAAGAATTTATCAATGAACACTTGATAACCTGCAAATTCCACAGTCGTCGCAATGAAACTGCCCCTTGCTGGTCTGAAACGGAAGTAAAAATACTAATAGTCATTATACTAAGTCTAGAAAAGCACCGTCACTAGCCCAACTAACCAAAGAAATGGCAAGCGGAAACCAGGAAGAATAATTACATCATCATCATAGAATTTACAGACTTCACAGAAATACTCTCCCATGTTTACACCGCAGTTGGAACAGACTTGAGCGACCTGGAAAAAACAATTAGAAAACAATTCGTGATGCTAAAACAGGGCTAACATATATACAATCGAAATAGATCAAACCCCACCTGCTGCTCGGTGTCACAAACTGAACAGACGACCTGAAACAATCAAATTAAACTCTACGTATCATTGCCAATCCAAACTCAATCATAAATAGCATAACTAGTCGAATAATACATAACAGTAAGCAACTAATAAGAAAAGAAGAAAGATAAGGAAAACCCAGAATAATAATAATAAGCTCACTTGCTGAAGATCCTGCCTGACGAGTTCATGGCAATCCTTAGGGTTCTTCAACATGCTCTAATTTAACAAAGCAAAGGGTTAAGAAAACCCAGATCGATCAAACAATTGGAAGCTATCTAAACCAAATGCTGGCCTTGTCATACCGTGGCTTCGTTGTGGCAGTGACGGCAGGGGAAGATCTCGTTGCAGCAGGGAGCTCGAATCTTGCATCTTCTCCTGTAATGCTCGCATCTAGAAACGAGAAAACCCACATTATCATCAATCAGCTCAGAAGAAATAAAGTGAGAAACCAGGAGATCACCCATTATTAAGAAATCAAAAGGAAACAAGGAAAAGAAAAAAGAAAACATACCCATATCCCATCTTCCCGAAATCCAGGCGTTGATTGGCAAAGTCTTCCATTGAAATTGATAGAACAAAAATATTGAGGCAGAGGAAGTGAAGGAGCCAATAATGCCTGATTGGGAAGGATGGGTCGTGAAAGAGGAGAAGAAGGAAAGAAGAGAAGAGACGCGACGCAAGGTTATGATATTATGCAAAACCATCTACGTCCAGCTTTATAGGCAGATATTTTTTAAGGTAATTTACTAAGACACCCCTTTAATTAGTGTATTTCTAAAAGACCTCCTATGCTTTTTGACTACTGGATCACCTTCCGTCATGAGCCGTGTATTTTTCTGTTACCAAACCCAATAAGTCAATTCAGTTTGATTACTTCGATTTTGGTTCAGTTTGGTTTGAGAATGAAATCATATGAACCGAATCGAAAATCGCATTAATCAAAATATATATTAATTATAAATATTAAAATTAATATAAAATGTGTATTTTAAATATAAGTATTGATATATTTTCATAATATTTATTAATATAAATATAACATATATTTATATTTTACCTAACCAAATTAACTAATATAAGTGTTAGGTTCTATAAAACACTAATAACTCCCTCCCTGAAGTTGGTGATAGTGGGAATCAAATACACATCTACTTGGGAATGAACCAACTAACATACCAACTGAGTTGTAATAATTATTTTTCGGTTAAAATTATCATGGCCTTCACCTTAATTTGTAACTATTTTTTAAAACTAAATTTCATTAATATATTAATATATATGTATTATACAATATATAAAATACATTTATATTTTAATATATAATATAATACATTATATTATAGATATTAATTATGTACGATATATTAATACATTCATATGCATATATATGTATATGTATTTAAGTTTATTCGGTTAACCAAAATTCTATGGGAGATGTTTTCAATACATAGCAGTGATGTATTTGTAGGGCACATTTGTAGAAATGGCAATTTGACCGGAAAGCATAAGGTCCTACCCTAGTTAGGGTAGGCTTTTTGACTACTAACTGGGGCGGGTTTTAGGAAAACTCAAAACTCTAGGGACTGGGGGACGGGGGGGAGGATGGTATTTGTCCACCCACCCCGTCCCCATGCAAATGCATCATGGCCTTCACCTTTGATGATCTTAGGTCTCAAGTAGTCATGTGTCCCACAACAAATCACATTGGCACTTGCATTGAGCTCTGGCAATGGCCTTGAGAATGACATTGCCCTAAGAGGGCACTGTTAAGAGCAACACGGTATTGGTTAGTTGCTTTCACATTTGCATCCAATTATGAAACCTGTAAACTTGTTGTTGCATATGATTATCATGTCGGATTTTTTATCAAACTCAAATTTACCCTGCAACCATCTTATTGTGTTTAAAATGATTACGAGATTAAAAAAAATTAATAATTTTAAATTTATATAATATGTATATAAATATAAAATATTAAAATTATTAACTATAAATTTTATAATTATATTATATATACACAAATTAATATTTTTTTAGTGAACTCAAATTTTAATCGAAAGATGATATATCCAATCTAATCATTAATTATATACGTAAGTTTTAACAACCAAATCCAAGATAATCGAATTTAAAACTAACTCATATACCGAACTTTCACAATGCCCTAGGCCGGATAACTAACATATTACTGAGAATGGTGAAATTACCACATTTGTGATGATCATAACTGAGGCGGTGGAGATCGTTGAGGCTGGTACAAATGGTAGTGACCGTCAGGACGACAGCTATGTTACGTCGGCGGATGTCTTTCGTTGCGCTTCTTATCAACGTAGCTCTTTGCCTTGAATGAGGCAGAGCGAGGCTGCCATTGGAATTTGGAAGCAAACTCTGAAACTCAACGGTCAACACCCTAACCCTAACGCTCAGTTTAAAAAGAGTATAAATATAAAATATGTAAAACGCAAATACTTATAAATTAATATAAAATACAAAGTTTTGTATTGTACCATACAAATGCGATTGAAGGGGGGAGAAGATTTTTTTATTAATTTGGTCGAACGGACGTTAAGGCCAACAATGTAATTTTACACTTCTCAAGAATAAGTAAAGCGGTTGTAAAGTACAGGGGGTGTTTTAATAGTTTGCAAACTAGTGGGGCAGGTTTGAATAATACTATAAAACTGTAGGATTGTCTAAGTAAATTAAAAAGGACAAACAAACCAATCTTTATAAAGAGAAAGAAAGAGGAGCCACAGATTTGTTGGAATCCCGGAGAAAAGGGTGGGCGCCGTGAATGGAGAAGCCCTAAGGTTCAGTCAGACACGCTGGCACGCTGCTGTTGTTGCAAAAATGCCAAAAACAAAGGAATAGGGAGGAAGAAAGGAGGTCGGATCTGATCCTCACACCGACTTCACAGCCACATCCCACCCTGCATTGAGAACATCTTCCATACTTATACTTTATTAGTCATGGGAGATATTCCCAATGAGTAGAAAACAAATTAAGTATGGGACAACGTATGCGAAATGCAGTGCACCTTATCTCTCTCCTCCATCTTCCTTTGTGAGACATGCAAATGCAAATTAAGTAAGGGTGAGTAAAAAACCAAAAAAAAAAAAAGAAAATGTGATTCATCATTCGATTTTCATTAATCAATATAAAAAAATTGGTAGTTAACCAAATCAATTAGTATACATATATTTCTATATATTATATGCACTTTTATATATATAATATTTATTTTATATTATTCATATATTATAAATTAATAAATATGTATTATATATTTATAATTTATAATATATAATTTAAATATAAAAAAGGAAAAAAAATTATCAACCGAATTGGTCAATTGGTTAACTTATTGGCTTTGATTCGATTTTGGTTACCAGTTTTCTAGAAACCGATAGTAATGGTTCGATTTAAAAATAAGCCCACGAGCATCCCTAATGCAAAGACTACGTTCGATTAAAATTCTGCTCCAAATCATAAACATTTGACAAATGATTTTTCAGCTAAAAACAATTCCTTAATAAATGTAAAACTTTCTCTAAATGATGGATTGCCTTTACCCCTTGAAAGGATGTTGACATAATAAACAAAATAAAAAATGACTCAAGTATGGTCTTTCAACTATTTACAAGTCAGGCAAACCGATTTTTGGTCTATTTCCGTTTGGTTCGTAGAAGATCTAGTCATCAAAAGCCAAAGTGCCGAAAAGACACGAGAAGCCCATTTTGGGCTGATTTAGGAAAGCTTCAAATGAAACTTTTTGCGTCTTTCGTGTTTTATTCTCACATGGAAATACGTGCATCTACCAAACTAGCTTCGGGCTGCTCAAATCTTCATGCAAAAGCTTAATGAGTCTTTTGATTGTCAAAACTACTAGAAGATCTTTCCAAAAAGGCTTGCCAAATAGGCCATAAATGATGAGAAAGTGACTCAATCACTTGAGAGAGAAAAGTTGTTGATGTTCAAAGTTTCTTCGCCGACAAAAAACCTAAATCAACCCAATCAGTAAATCTCGGTTCTTTTAAACATCTATTTACAGCTCATCCCTCCTCAAGAGCAAGAGCTATGTAGCTATGGGAAGTTCAGATACGGATGAGGCTTTCAACCAATGTTTATTCGGAAAGATTGTATCGGATCAGCCTCTTAATGTGTTTGGTGCGATTCAAAGGATTAAGAATCTATGGACGAAGGCCAAGGATTATGAGGTCAAGAGAGACTACAAGGAGATGTTCTGTTGATTGCTTTTCAAAGGGAAAAGGATGTAGAGAAGAGAGTGGTCGAGTCGAGACTCGAGGGTGCGAGCCTTGGCTGATAAAGGACTACCCCCTGCTACTCCAAAAGTGGTTCCGACTTCCGAGGAGTGGATCCAGCAGCACTTGTTTTCAAAGAAATGACCATCTGTATTCGTATCTTGAATCTACCGGTGGAATGTATGAACCGAGCGTATGCAAAAAGCTTGGTTACCCAAGCAGGTGTTACTACCCCGTTGAGCAAAGCAGAAGAGAAAAATAAGCACAAGTCATAATGGGGACCCTTCTATAGAATCAAAGTTAAGACAAAATGTGCGAAAGCTGAAAATCAATTTTGAATATCAACCTATGAAAAGTTGTCGGTCTTTTGCTACAACTATGGTCGGATCGGACACGGGGAAAAACCTGCAAGTATGAAGTTAAAAAGGACCCAATGGAAGAAATAATAGTGAAACTTGCAAAACAGGAAATGGATGACATTAATGGAGAAGGTGATTATGGACCTTGGCTACGAGCTAGAGATGATGTCATTGCTAAGGAATGGAAGTACCTAAACAACGAGCAGAGGAAAAACATGGAAACAAGTACCACCGAGCAAAAGAAAAGCGATGCCTCTCTAGAAAGCTAATGACAGAGTGTAGCAGAGATTGATCAAGTGGTGAGATCCCGAACTTCACGTAGAGATCGGATGACAACTCTTTCAAAGAAGTCACTAAAAGCAGTGATCAACCTCCACTAGGGGCGGAGCTAGGATTTTTTATTGAGGGGGGGGGGGGGCAAAGCATAATAAACATGGATAGGGGGCCAAAAGACAAGAAACATGGGTAAGAGGGGCAAAATATATGTGAGATTTAAATAGTTACTATGAGGATTTTCAAAGCATAGGAGGGCCATGGCTCCCCTCTGCCACCCTTGGCTCTGCCTCTGACCTCCAGACTACCCGAACAGAGTGAGATTTGGGGATAACGAAGGAAGCTGATGTTACAGAGTTGAAGGTTTCCAATCTGATGGTCGGAATTTGAGAGTAATAACTTTTTCGCTAGTGAAGATTTTTCAGCACCAGAGTGAATCTAAAGCGGTTGGCAGAAATGACAAATTGCAATAGGTCAGGTGGTGTTCCACTCAAAATTTTCTATTTTTGAGGAAACTTCCAGAAAATAAATGAAAGAATGATAGAATGTTACACAAAAGGGCAATCTTCAAAGGTTGTATTACAAGGAAAATATAGAAAAAGTGGATAAGCCAGATTTTCCTCTCTACAAGAAAGGATAGGATGTTAAAGAGATGTCATAAGATTTGTCTTCTAATGAGAATGGTTGCGAACTAGTGGTAGTAGGGTTTGACCAAAGCTATCAGATCCGGGGCAAGCAAAAACAGATGAGGGTATGGACCACCAGCAAATCCAAGTCCTTTTAAGTGGA